AACTAATTACTTATGTTAAACATGTAAGTATAAACAAGCAAGTCATATAGTCATGCATTTACAAGTTCACTCAGGTCAAAATAGCCTACAAGAAGGCCTATTTGACTACTACTTTGTCCATTTTCTACATTTCTTAACTAATGAACTATTTTTTTCTCATAACATGTCAATTATACTTAGTTTAAGGTGGCTAAGGATTGAAATTACATCAAAATAGCATTTTCATTTTAAATGGCCTAAATAAGGCTCATATAACTTCTACTTTGCCCATTTTCTACATTCCTTATCAACTGACCTATTTATTTCTCATAACATGTCAATGTTACCTAGTTATAGGTGTTTAAGGCTTGAAATCACATTAAAAGATCATTTGACAAAGTTTTAAGACGCATTTTACTCAAAATGACCCAAATGTGGCCTATATGACTTCTACTTTGCCCATTTTCTACATTTCTTATCAAATGGCCTATTTTTTTCTCATCATTTATATGTTACCTAATTTTAGGTGTCTAAGGCTTTAAATCACATTAAAATTGTATTTTATTGAGTTTTAAGATCAATTTTACTCAAAATGGCCCAAATATGGCCTAAATGACTTCTACTTAGCCCATTTTCTACATTTCTTATCAAATGGACTATTTCTTTCTCATAACATTTTTATGCTACCTATTTTTAGGTGTTTAAGGCTTGAAATCACATTAAAAGTGTATTTTATTTAGTTTTAAGACCCATTTTTACTCAAAATGGCCTAAATGACTTCTAATTCGGTCATTTTATACATTTCTTATCAAATGACCTATTTCTTTCTCATAACATTTCTATGTTATCTAGTTTTAGGTGTTTATGGCTTGAAATCACATTAAAAGTGCATTTTATTGAGTTTTAAGACCCATTTTACTCAAAATGGCCCAAATATGGCCTAAATGACTTCTAATTCGGTCATTTTCAACATTTCTTATCAAATGACCTATTTCTTTCTCATAACATTTCTATGTTACTAGTTTTAGGTGTCTAAAGATTGAAATCACATTAAAAGTGCATTTTATTGAGTTTTAAAACCCATTTTACTTAAAGTGGCCCAAATATGGCCGAAATGACTTATTATTCGGTCATTTTCTACATTTCATCTGAAATGCTAACAGGGTCAGAAAGAAAAATACCGGCATCATTGTACAAAGATGTAGTTCGGTTAATATGTCTTCATTGCTTAACAGAATCAAAAAAAGAATTTGTTGTTTGCATCTCTCGAAACACATGATTGATGTCTCCACACATAAGCCAAGCACACCCACTACAAGCACCATCAACAACACTTAAACCAGAGAGTTTTTGTTAAAATTATTAATAATCATGTTTATTATATAGATAATCTTACTACGCATGGGAGCACGATGTGCGCATGCTCCCCCAATCTTGTGAAATTAATCTCGCCAAGCGGTAGCGTGGTCTGATGTTTAAGCAATGTATATTTGTATGAATATTTATTATATAAACAAAGATAGAGGTGAGTGCTCTATACTTCATAATTCATCTAGAATAATCTTCATATTCTCAATAATTCATTATAAAAGTTGTGTTAACTAGTTTCAATTTTCACTTGTGTTCATATTGGGCTAATAGAAGTGAGAACTTATTTATAGTTCAAATGTTGACCTAAGATAGTAGGAAATTTTGAAGAAGTGTTATTGGTAATAAGCTTTTATAGGGTTATTGATAATATGCATTAATATGTTAATCTAATGACAACACCATAAAAATAAGTTGACTTCTCAATTTTCTAATTTTTCTATTGAATACTTGAAAAAAATTGTTAGTCGTTAAGAATCTACCAAAAACGGGTTATGTTCATGGGTTTAAATGAAAAAAATCAAAATTTAATTTAAAAAGATAATTTTATTTTTTTTTAAAAAAGGTACCTAAGTTTTTGTAATCAAACATATGTCTATTATATAATTTTAAAGTAAGGTTAATCATTCGAATAATTATAAGCATCCGTAATATTCTTTTTATACTAACTATAGAATGGGATTTTATAGCTATCTAAACTAATTTTTCATTAAATTCTTCTTTCCTAAAACTCTAATGTTTAAATTAAATACTAGTGTGTAGCCCGGCGTTGCACCGGTTGCTAATTTAGTCCTTGTGATTATCAATTATATACATTTATTTTAATGGTTATAACATAGTTTATGAGTGGCTTAGATGGATAAGGAACCATCTTTCTTACAAAAGATTGGGTGTTTGAATCCCCTTATCATCATTTTTGTATATGAACATTCTTAGTAACGCCTTTTAATATATTAGTATAGATTTTAAATTACGGTCAGAAGACGAATAATTATAATACTATGGTTTATGCTTTGCAAGTCATTAACAACAATGTCCAAAGAGATGTGCTCTTTTTGGGTGACTAAAATTAAGTGTCTGTTTCTATTTATAGGTTGTATTTTTCTACAATATTATTCTCTTTTTGATGATATGTCATCCTTTTCTTTTTCTTTTTTGTACTTTAACATCAATTCCCAATACTTTGTCTCTCCTAATTCCCAACCACTTTTTCTTTCTCTCTATCTCTCTCTAACCCTACATGCATATTTATACTCCCAATTATTAGTGTTAAGGAATTTTTAACTTTCTTAATTCCCGTGCAAAATGAGAAATAGACATGTAATAAAGGGACGGAGGGAGTATTATTTTTTTTAAAAGTGAGGACAAAAAAACAAATATAGGGGTTGTTTGGTTGACAAATAAAAACATGGGAAGTTGGAAATCCTAGGAATTTTAATTCTTTGAAGTTGTTTGGTTGACAAATTCATGGGAAGTGGAAATTCCCATGAATTTCCACTTCCCACAAAATGGGGGAAGTTAATTACCTAGGGGGACCTAGGTAAGTGGAACTTCCCATGGGAATTTCCACTTCCCTTAGTTAACCAAACACTTTTTAGAATTTCCTAGGAAGTTCAATTTCATGGGAAATCAATTTTCCAAGGAATTTGCAATTCCTACATTCAACCAAAAGAGCCCATAGTGTAAAAATGGGTTAAAGAGGTTGGAGATTTTTACAGAGTTGGAATACATGTAATCCCTATTCTGAAGTGAATAGATAACCGGGAACATATAACTTTGAGATTTTGACAAAAAAGAAAATTGTAAAATATCGGTCGTAATAGATCTAAGGAAATATGGTCGTTTGATTGAATCTAATGAAATTTACTTTAAACAGATTATTTAGAAGTAATAGGAGATCTGTTAGAATCAACGTGAATGGATGAGAAAGAAGTGGATCTAAATTCAAGGCATAGACTTAACCCGTTTATTTATTTTTAAATAAATTCTTAAAATTGAATTTCTTTTTTATGGCTCAGTAAATGATTTGATTGAATATATCAAAAATATGTCCATACTCAGATCATGTAATGAAATTAATAATTTTATAAGAAGCAGAATTTTTCGACAGTGCATACCTTCAAGAAACTTTAGTTTTTTTATCAGTTAGAAACTTCGAAACTTATCAGCATAAATTATACACCATTTTTATTGCTATATATAGTGAAAGTATAATTACAATGCATATAATATAAAGTTAATTAATTTATTGATTCACATAATTACAACTTTATTTTTATCATAAATTCTTAAATGAACCTGGTTCACACTAATTTATTGTGGACCACTAATATAAGAGAAACTATAGTAGTTTTATTAATAATAAAAAAAAAAGGTCACTATATTAAAAATAAGGTCACTATGTTGAAATAAAAGTCATTTTGGAAATATATAGGATATAAGAGATTAATTTTTTTAATGAAATATTTTATATATTGGTCAACATAAATAATAAAGGTCACTATGTTAAAATTAGAGTCATAACGTCATTTTCAAGTTCACAATAATATTAAACGCTATACAAGTTTTGATAAAGGTTACTATGTTAAAAATAAGGTTACTATGTTAAAAATAAGGGTCACTATATTCTATATAATGTCAGTTGCGGGTGCATAAACATCGGGTGCACAATAAAATTATTGTGGACCAGGTCCATATAAGAGTATTTCAATAAAATAAAGATGTAATTATATTGATATACTTTTATTATATTTTCATTATGAGAAAGATAATGTAAAAAATATAATTAATTTATTACTACACTTTTTTTTTTTTTTTTTTTTTTTTTGGACAAACGCTGCAAAATTTATAAATAGGAAAAACCAAAATCAGTGTACATCAGCATTAACTTTGTAGAAACCATGTATTGGAGGAGACCATCTTTGGATACTTTGATTAGAGTTTCCCATAACGCCACGCTTTTTATGAGCCTTCGCAAACCACTCACTAGCTCATTTGCCTTCAACATAAAATCAACAATTTCATTCTTATCAGAATTATGAGAAGAGGAAGAATTTTAGAGAGGGAAATTGAGAGAATTTTATTATTATGAATTGTAATGAATTACAGCAGCTAAGACTATATATATAGCTTAATTACATTAATTAGAAATAAAAGAGTTTGTTACAAATGAGCTGACAACTCTAACAAACTATAATAACAAACTTCACATTTTGTTATTTTTCTTGTGCGACGTGGCTGAGCTACTTGCAATCTGAGCTGTCATAATCAAGTAGCTTCACACCCCCCCCCCCGCAAGCTGAAAGTAGGGAGCATTCCAAGCTTGAATAACAGCTCATTAAACTTTACTGATGGCAGTACCTTAGTGAAAATATCAGCAAGCTGAACTTGACTTGGCAAATAGCTCAAAGAAATTAGACCTTCCATCACTTTATCCCTTGTAAAGTGGCAATCTATTTCTATATGCTTGGTCCTGTCATAAAAGACAGGATTTTTAGCAATGTAGATGCATACTGATTGTCACAGTTCAAAGTCACTGGCTTCAGATTTTGCACACCCAATTCTTCAATCAGTCTGACTAACCAAGTGATCTCAGAGGCTGCATTAGACATAGCCCTGTATTCTGCTTCTGAGGAGCTCTTAGAGATTGTAGACTATTTCTTAGATTTCCAAGAAATTGGAGAATTTCCAAGCAGTAACAAATATCCTGTAATTGATCTTCTAGTGTCCACACATGCCCCCCAGTTAGAGTCTGAAAAAGCTTCAAGTTTGAGTTGATCAGAAGCCTTTAGCAATATCCCTTGTCCTTCAGTACCAGCAGCATACCTCAATGTATGTTGTAAAGCAGCTAGATGAGAAGTCCTAGGCTCACTCATAAACTGACTCAAAGCCTGAACTGTGTAAGATAAATCAGGTCTAGTACTTGTTAAGAAGTTTAGCTTTCCCACCAAACTCTATAAGCAGACAACTTCAAATTTATAGGCAAGGGTGTAACAATGTGTTTAGACAAATCCATACCAGAATCCTTCAGCAACTCTTTTGTAAACTTCTTTTAAGTCATAACAAACCCAACATCAGTTCTGGAGACTTTTATGCCAAGAAAATAGTAGACTTCACCGAAATCTTTTATACTGAAACTAGAATGCAAATGTCTTTTTAACTCTGTAATGTTGTCTGAGTTACTTCCTGTTACCAGAATATCATCGACATAGACTGTGACAACAATCATCTCATCTTTGTTGTGCTTGATGAACATAGAGTAATCATTTTTAGACAGTTTGAAGCTAAGAAACAACAGCTCATGAACCAGTTTAGCAAACCATTGTCTGGATGCTTGTTTCAGTCCATATAAAAACTTCTTTAACTTGCAAACCTGAGTAGGAGCAGCTTGAAAACCTTCAGGAATCTTCATATACACCTCCTCATGAAGATCTTCATGCAGAAATGCATTATTTACATCTAACTGGTAGACTTTCCGGTTCTTTGAAGCAACAATTGAAAGCAAACACCTTATATTTGACATCTTCACAACAGGGGAAATGGTTTCCAAATAGTATATGCCATACTTTTGAGTGAACCCTTTAGCCACAAGCCTTGCTTTATACCTTTCAATACTCCCATCTACATTCCTTTTTAACCTGAATACCCATTTACTGCCTATTGCTTTCTTACCATGAGGTAATGTAACAATCTCCCATGTATTATTATCCTTGAGAGCTTTTAACTCTTTTTCCATGGCTTCAACCCACTTAGGTGATTTTGCATCTTTTTTATAAGTGGTAGGTTCAACTATCTCAGTATGCTGAGCAATTAAACCTTTATGAGCAGAAGAAAGATCTTTATAATACACAAGATTACACTAGTGAGAAGTGATGTGAGTAGTGAACAAATTACAAATGTATTTGTCCATCCAAGATGGATTTTTAACTAGTCTAGAGGATTTTCTGATAGTGGTTTCAGTCTGGTTGCTTGGAACAGAAATAGGAATGGAAATGGGAACAGAATTAGGTTGAGTAGAAATAGTAGTAGTAGAAGAATTATGTGGAGCTGTATGAAGAGAAGTTGAATATATCAGGAACATTATTGTGTATGACTATATCAGGAAGGGTGTTAGAAGGAAGGAAGATGGGAAAAAGTGAAGATCTGGAAGAAGAATCAGAAGGTTAAAGATGAAAAAGAAAGTGCCTTGCTTTCATGAAAAATGACATCTCTAGACACATGTATATACTTAGTACTCAAATTCATTACTTTATAACCCTTTTGAGTAGATGAATAACCCAAGAAAATGTGAGGTTCTTCCCTAAGATCAAACTTACTTCTCCCTTGTTTGAGGGTTGAAACCTAACACAAACAACCAAACACTCTCAAGTGTGAAATATCGGGGGGATGGGGGGTTATTGTGAATTTTCTCATATGGTGAAACAAAACCCCAAACACTTCAAAGGAGTTCTGTTGATTATATAAGCTGCACACAAGACACATTCTCCCCAAAACTTGGTTGGCACATTATATTGATTGAAAGAACAGTGCCCTGGTTGTCTCCAATAAATGCTTATGTTTCCTTTCTACAACTCCATTTTGTTGGGGTGTATCAACACAACTAGTTTGATGAACTATCCCTTTACTAAGATAAAAAATCCTGGCTTCCCCTTCATATAACTCCAAAGCATTATCAGATCTAATGCACTCAACATTCAACTTATACTGACTTTCAATGAAAGAAATGAAAGATTTAAGAATTGAAACAGTCTCAGACTTATATTTCATCAAATGAATCCAAGTACATCTTGAGAAATCATCATCAATAGTCAGAAATATTGAATAATTGTTATGAGTTACAACTCTATGAGGACCCCATAGGTCAATATGTAAAAGCTGAAAAGGTCTTGTAGACTTTATTAAGCTATTAGGAAAAGAAAGCCTATACTGTCTAGCAGCAGGACAAATATGACATATAGTGTCTACAGAAGACTTAGAACTGATCATAGGATCAACTAATATAAGCTGAGTAAAAGGTAAATGGCCTAGTCTGAGATGAAGAAGCTTGGCCTGATTATCTATGTCTCCCTGAGTATTAGCAGAAGCAAATGTTGCAATCTGCAGAGAACTGTCTGGCTGATCATCTAAAGAGAAAGGGATTAAAGATATTTGAGCTGCTGAGGCTGGAGTGCAATAAAGACCTTTCTTCAAGCTACCAAGATGCATTCTCATTGAATAAACCTGAACAAAACACTTATTAGCTGTAAAAATCACTTCACAATCCAAATTTAAACACAACTTTGGAATAGATTCTAGATTGAACTTAAAACTAGGAACATATAGGACATTTTGAAGAGTTAATGCTTTTAACAATACTGTTCCTATGTGAGCTACTTTAACTTCACTTCCATCTAGAATAGTAATACTATGATTACTAGTAGTCACAACATCAAAAGTTGCAAAATATTTAAGATCATAACACATATGATATGTTGCACCACTATCCAGAATCCAATCAGAACTAAATGAAGAAAATAAACAGTGTTTACCTGCCAAGAAAGCTGCACTGTCCTCTTTAGGGTTCTCATTGGAATTCTAAATACCACATACAATCTGTCCTTCCATGAATTCTTTGAATTTACTGTATTGATCCAGAGTAAAGGAAGTTGTTACAACATCTTCAGCATCAGTATTGTTGTCACCTCCTTGAGCAAAATTAGCAAATCTCTTAGTATTCTGCTTGAAATCTCTTGGATAACCATGTATCTTGAAGCATCTGTCAATTGCATGTCCAGGAATTTTGCAACGTTCACAGAAAAACTGTGATTGTCTCATGTTATCAAACTTTCCCTTATTCTTATCTTGGAACTGAAAATTCATCTTTCCATAGTTCAGATTCTTGTAGTTTCTATTATCAAAATTTCTTCTATATGCTGTAAAAGCACAGGATTCAATTGAACTTGTTGTATCAGCCATAAGAGCATGTGTTTCTACTCCAGGTTGCAAAGAGTGAACAATTGATTTATGTCTTTCTTCTTGTATGAGAAGCCTGTAAGCATGATTAACAGGAACCAAGGGCTGCATCATCAAAATATTTCCTCTGGCCATTGTGAACTGTTCATTTAACTTCATCAAGAATTGAATTAACCTCTGATCTTCCCTTTGTTTTACCAAATTTTGAGTGATATTGCAAGTCCACCCTGCACAACTACAAACTGGCAGTGGACTCATACCATCCAATTCATCCCATAACATCTTCATTTTTGTGAAATATTCTGCTATTGACTGATTTGCTTGTGGTAAATCAGATAACTGTTGTTGTATAGCAAACAACTGAGATCCAGAAGATTGAGCATATCTCTCCTCTAAGTTCTTCCATATCTCTCTAGCAGTAGTAAAATAGAGGACACTTCTAGCTAGAACAGGATCTAAAGAACTTAGAATCCAACTAATCACTAAATCATTACACCTTCTCCAAGCATTATAACAAACATCTTCTGGAATAGGTACTGTAATCGAACCATCAACAAAAGCTAATTTGTTTTTAGCAGTTAATCCTATCATCATTGCACACTTCCAATCACCATAACTAGTTCCATCAAATTTAACAGTAACAGATGTCATTTTGAGACTATCATTTGGATGAATATTATAAGGTGAAACAGGATTTTGAGTAGGATCTTGCGATTTATTAGTTTCTCCAGCCATTTCTCAAATCAATTATTAACAAAAATCAACAAACTACTTCAAGAATCAAATACCTTCAAATCAAGATAATCGATTGATTGTAACAGATTTTTCAGCAAAGAACAATCAATAATCTCCAAATAAGCTTTAATATCAAGAAAAATCAAACAACAATCTCCAGAATACTCAAACCAAATCAAGAACTAGTGGAATCAAATTTGTAACTCCAGAATTCACAGATCAAATCAAGAAGTATTTGAATCAACTTTGCTAAAGAAAATCGAAGAACAAACTTACAAAATCAAGACGAAACAACAATCAGAAACGATCGAAAAACTCCATGAATGAGTTTCGTAGCTCTGATACCATATTAGAATTATGAGAAGAGGAAGAATTCTAGAGAGAGAAAGTAGAGATGGAAATTGAGGAATTTTATTATTGTGAATTGTAATGAATTACAACAGCTAAGGCTATATATATAGCTTAATTACAATAATCAGACATAAATGAGTTTGTTACAAATGAGCTGCCAACTCTAACAAGATATAATAACAAACTTTACATTCTGTTATTTTTCTTGTCTGACGTGGCTGAGTTGCTTGCAATATGAGATGTCATCATCTAAGTAGATTCAAAATTTTTGCATTTCTCAAAGAAAAAAAAAATATTTCTCAAACACAACTTTTAATATATTTTCATTATGAGAAAGGTAATATAAAAAAATATAATTAATTTATTACTACACATAATTTTAAATGTCAATTTATTTCATATAGATGTAGTTTTATGTAATTTGTTAGTTTAAGAATAATTTAAATATAATTTATTTTGGAATATTTTGGGGAAAAATTACAACTTTATTTTTATTGATATATAATGAGATTATTAACATAATTACAACTTTATTTCGAAAGTATAAAGCGGGGTATTAATTAATATCAATTAAGAACCAATTCAGCCAACTAATTTATCATTATAAAATGACAACATTTAATATATATAACTCCTAGAGTACTCCTAGAGTATTGTACAATTTAAACGTCAGCGTTTTGACCCTTTGGCCATAATACTCCTAGATTACTCTTGCAGAAGAATGAGAGAAATAAAGAATAGACTCATGTGAGATAGAGAGAAATCATGTGTATATATGTTAATGTTTCAATAATTGTGAAACCAACTAAAATGGTAATTGTTGCAATATTAGGAAAACGAAGGTAGTACTGTAGTAGTACCCAAAATTTCAATGCTGCCCTACATTTATTTGATGTTACCCAACCAATAAATTCTGCCTTGTTTGTTTTTTGGTAACCTAAATGTAAAAATTCTAAAACTCAAAGTTAAAATCTTTGAATCTCAGCATCTCTGCAGCATTCCAATAGCATTAGTAAAGTGTAGAAACAAACCCAAGGTTAGTCCGGATATGAATCATATGATGCAGAAATGAGATGTCGTAATTCTCTAATTGATTCACAGTACAATCTTGCTTCCAATTTTTCTTAGTTTCTAGTCAATGTCATGTATAATCATGTTCTCTAAGCTGTGGTGACCATAACAGAAGAACTAGCATACAAGTATGTGCAAAGAATGAAGGTTAAGAAGCTGATCGGATGCATTCTATGGGAATATATTTAGGTAGTTTTGTGGTTCTTCTCGACTTTAAGACGCTCACATTTCTTCCTCTATTATGTGCTGGACTTGTACTCAAATGCTAATTTTAACTCGGGATGATATTAACTTAGTTAAGTGGTTTTTAATAAGAACTTGGTACATAACTGATGCTGTCATTTGACTGATGGAGTATATCTTCTCATAAATTCCAAAATGAACATAAATGAGTAACCATTTTTCACAATACTCCGACAATTTTAATTTCTTTTGATGCCGGCTTTAAGGGCATACAACCACAGACGTTTAATTTTTCTGAATTAGGCCCTCCATGTTTAATGATTATGTTGGATAGAAAGGGTAATGAAACAAAAACAAGATGTATTATAACACATTGACTATAAACACGACCAGTCGCTCCATAAAATATGCGACGAAAAATGGCCAATAAATTTTCCATTAACCTGAAGTCATGTAACCTTCCTGCACCCATTTAGAGGTGCGGTAATGCCAGTATATTCATCCCAGATTCCTTAATTGTATTCAAACATCGATCCTCTCAATTAAGATACATGCAAGCTGGAGGAATGGAGATAAAAATTAGTCAGTACAGGAGTAACTTGTTTTCTAAGAATCTAATGAAATTATTACTTAAAAGCCCAAAAGATAATCAAGCCCCACCTTAAAGATTCAGCCATAAGCTAGCCACTTCAGTGAAAGTAGGATAAAATTAATAAACATGTATCTATAGAAGAGCCGACAAGAGCACCTCCAGTTTTAGTTCAAGTAAAAATCTACCCAAATTGAAAGGAAAAAAGCCACCCTAAGTTTCCTGTACAAGAGCTGCTCGCTCAGGATTCAGAAGGAGCAACTGCTGCATGTCCTTCGGCAGAACACTAAACACTGCCTGTAGATCTTCCTGCAGCTTCTGGCAACTTTTCATAGAGTCTTGTCCACTTGTTCCAGACTTCTGCAGCTGATTCAAAAGTCTCAGTTATAGAATTCACACAACACAGAGCTATAGAATTTTTAAATGCTTGAACTTCTGTTGAATGTAAAGCAATGGAACTTGACAGTTTCAATGTTATGGAGACTTGTAAAGAACAAGACAAATTGCACATGTACCAGGTACAATATCAGACATCACCACGACAATTGTACAGACAATTAGTGAAAAGTAATTAAATCCTAATCACTTGTTACTGGGGCATGGTAATTAACCCAAAAGTAATTAACCCATGTTTTTTTTCAACCCATGTTTTTTTTCAACACCTACACAATTAAGCCCAGAGGAAGCCAGGTCATGTTTCCACATTTTGGGATCCACTAAATAACATTGATCCACTACACAGTAGACAGTTAGAAACAATGTCCTCTCTTCTTGGTTAACTACAATCCTCTTCCTTGCACAAAAAAATGGTAGTCGATAGAATCATTTCTTTTTCACTACATACACCTCTTCAAAAATAACTTAACATTTGAAGCAAAATGCCGTCCAAAAACTCGTATTTTTTAGATAAGCAGATATGGCTTTAATTATGTTTAACTTAATCACAAAAAATTATGTTAATTGGATCATAATTATATAATCTTTTACCTATCAACTGTATTTAGGGTGGGAAGGGAAATGGAGAGATGGAATATCTTTTATTTGGATAACAAATGAGGAAGGAAGGGAATTGGAGGGGTGAGAAATGAAGGGATTAAATTGTTGGAAATTGATCCCTCCAACAATGGAGAGATTTGGAAGGAAAATTCAACATTCTTCCCTCCCCTCCCTTTCCCTCCCCTCCCCTCCTCTTCTCCTCCCTCCCCTTCTTTTCCTTCCTCCTTTTTTATCCAAACACAGTGTTAATGAAGTAGCCATTAATAAAAATAAAATGACATAAAATTGATTCAACTTCAACTGCGGCCTCCACTTAAGGTCCCCTTGTACAAAACCTTGTCCAACACATAGGAGCTTGTTAAACTTACTGCCTAATCTTTCAAAAAAAAAAGATTAGGCAGTAAGTTTAACAAGCTCTTCACACCAAACACTAGTAGCCTAAATGAAAGAGTCAGGTATTCTTGACTACGATTTCCCTCAATCACATCACAAAAGCCAACCCTTTGGTATCAACATCACATAAACTGCCCAAGTTAACAAAAAAAATTCGGCGTCTACCTTATTAAAAAAATAAATAAATAAATAATTAAATAAATAAAAAGAGAGAGAGAGAGACTGCCGCATTTTACTTGCCCTGTTTTCCTTTTCAAGGGTCCCAATGTACTTGCTCCATCATCCTAGTAAACTACCTACTCCTCTCTCACTCAGCCACCCAATTTTTACTCCACTATTTCGCTTGCATAAAACTGTATAAACATCTATGGGAAAAGTAAATAGGAACACAGGAAGTTAATAAAATGATGTCCCTTGATCAATTTGCTCCATTTCCTCCTAGTCTAAACATCTCTGCAGGACATCTCTACATTTTAGTCTTACCAAGGAGCTGACTATAAGGATGACAGGATTATTACACAAAAGGACTGATGCTAAGACAGCAAGCTTCCATTCTCTGTGTTTTACATTATATTTGTGATAAGCACAGTTACTGATCTAAGGGCTGAGGCAGAGTAGGCAAAATATAGTAAAGCCTATTTAGAATTTCTTAATCAATGATCAGTTCCCAGTGAACTCCAGGGAGATGGAGTTCATGGATATATGAGAAGGGTTGCATCAAGTTGACAATTGATGACTACCACAATTCATGTGTACAGGTTAGATAAAATAATTGAAAAAAGTAATATTCTGAAACTGACAGTTTTCTGTGTGATTCAGTACAGAACCTACAAACCAAGCTAAACTTATGTTCTAAACAACCAACATATGCTGAAACTACGAGTTATTAACAGTGATGGTTATTCCGTCAGAATACATTTGAAAGAAAAGACATTTGACAGCCCCAATGAACGATACATCAAGGTAAACCATTCTTCTTTCTAGTTTCCCAATCTACACGGACATCATTGGCACTACTTTGCATCACAAGGCTAATGATAAATGTCAAAGAGAACTGAAAAACAAGAGTGCAAACGGTTAGCAAATCTTTCTCCCCATGACAAACTACAACAGCTCATGGGGAAAAAAATTTCTTTTCTTAAGAGCATCCTCTATGGCCTTTGTATAATGCCAGAGGAGAAGCTCTTTTTTTTTGATGGAAGGGAGAAGCTCTTTGTCTTCTAAATTTTATTAGTAAAGAAGACCAGAGTGAAATTTTAGACACAAACAAGTCCATTCTTCTTTAATTTTGGAGTAACGGAAACCAAGTAATTCTCAAGCCTACTCATACTAACTAGAAAGGAGGATGAGGGGGAGACTGTATTTTAGGGCCATTGGAATTAACAGAGATCATGTTAGGAAAGCATAAGATAACTAATACAGCAATTTAGATATCAGACCCAATGAGTAAGTTTAGCCCAAGAATCCTACTTGAGACAACAATGCTCTCCAGAGCTTACAAAAATGAAGAAACATGATTCCTAGCATCAAAACCTTAGGCTAAAAACCACTCTTTAGAAGAGCTGTCAACAAGAACAGAAAGAGAAGCAATTAACAAACAGAAGAAAACAAAAACCTGTAATTCAGCTTCTTTATTCTGATAAACCCTTTACTAAAAACCAAAACATTCAATTGTTGGTGGGGTAGGTTATCAGGTTAAGGAGCAAATATCTCCAACATCAGCACAATGATGTATTATTGGGACACAGGGAACAAAGAATTCATGCTCCTCCCACTTATTCAAATTCTATAAAAGCTCAAAAAGGAAAAGGGGGAGGAAAAAAAAAAAGGAAAAAGATGAGAGTCCAAAATCTTCTCTAATGAGCTCGCATAAATCCTACAAGAAAAACATAGTGAACCCTTTAATAAGAACTCTCCTCAAAAGGTCACTTCAAGGTTCAAACACTCTCAATGCTGAATAGAGATATGGCCTAATCAACTCCATCAAAAATCACAAACTCTATTCTCTCAAGAAAAATTAATCACAAATCTCATAGAAAGAGTTCTCAAATAGATAGTTGTAATCTCCTGTATTATTGCCTCCTTGCCATTAATAAGATCTCCTGAGGGTCTTCGTGGCTCTCATGCCCATTCTAGTTATCCGGGAATTCAGGTTCTAAACAACATTGTCTTCAAGTCTATCTCTGAAGACAAGACCAAAAGGTAATTTTGGGGAGACAGGTGTCTAGGGAAGAAAGAAAAGAGGGGTTATTCTCTCCCAACGAGGGGAAAGCTCCTGGGCTTGATGCCTTTAATGCTCTATTGATTTTCTTGAAGAATAGAGCAGCAGTAGGAGAAGCTGTATTTAATGCTATCCTTTCCTGCTTAAACTCTGGCAGTTTGCTTAGGGAGGTTTTATATACCGTTATTGCTAAAGTTCCCAAGCTGCCTAATGCCACAAAGCCAAGTAATGACAGACTCATTTCATGTTGTAACACCATTAATAAGTGCCTCACTAAGCTCATAGCTAATAGATTTTCTTGGTGAGTTTATTTTGATTGATCCATCACAAACAACCTTTGTTCCTCGCGCAAGTCTAATGGGTAACATTTTGCACTCAGGGTAGCCAGCCTATCTACAGACATTAAAACTGCAATGCCTATGTTGATGTTGATGATGAAGTTTAGGATTGAAACAGATTCAGAATCTCTTGCTCAGAAGTTAGGTCAGTACTGTGTTATACTAGACGCAGGCAAAGTCAAAAGAAGCTTATCAGAAAGAAGAGAAAAGTGAAGCTTCAAAGAGTTATGGCTGTAATTTGATGAAAATGAAGGAGACAACAAGACTTCAGACGAATGGAAACTCGTGCTAAGAGATCTGCTTCAAGAAATGAGTTGCTGAATTGGTAATACTGAGTTGTAATCACCAAAATAAAAATGACGAAATTTTATAAAAGCTAGAATATACTTTTATTAATTATATCCATCATTAGTGTTTCAATCTGTCTTGGTGATCAACTAATCATCTTATGCTATAGATATCTACATTTTGTGTCCTTTTTAATTTTTATAATAATCAATAATGTTATTTTCAAACAGGAATCTTAGGAGCCGTTAATGCTACATATCAAGGAAAAGTATTGTGTAGAACGGACTCACGTGAGTCCAATCATACAAAAAAAAAATTTAATTGTTAGAAATTTTATAATAATGGTCAGATATTTAAGAAATAAGTATCAGAAATTAGATAATAAGGGTCAGAAATTAGATAATATTGGTCAGATATTAAATCATAAGTATTAGAATTCAGAAAAAGTTGGTCAGATATTAAATAATAAGTATCAGAATTCAGATAATAAATGTCAGAAATTAGATAATATTGATAAGGTATTAGATAATAGTATCAGAAATTAGATAATATTGGTAAGGTATTAGACAAAATTGGTCAGATAAGAAATTGGTCAGGCATTATATAATATTGGTCAGTTATTACATACTAATCGTCACGCAAGAGAGGGTCCACAACTGGGCATTCATTATTCGTCTCTTCTCATGTGACTCTCCCTCCCAACCTCACTTTCACTCTTACTCTCTCTCCTACAAACCCACCAAATAGAAACCCCAAAAATGTCGTCATCTTCCTCAAAACTCCTCTCAATATTCTCTCTCCTCTTTGTAATCCTCTACATTACATTCCATGTAGAAGCTCAGATGCCACCACGCTGGTTCCAAGGACTTCCAACAACTCCAACCTTCTCGCTGGTAACTCTTTAGATTGAGAGCGGTGTTCGTCTCCTCCTCTTCATCGGGGGCGGCGGTGGCAGCCATCGTCGAGGAACACCGCTATCCTAAACTGTGATCCATCGTAAACGCAAGCCTCGACGTGAGTCCATTGAAGAAGTATTGTGTACGATGAGGTAAGGATCAGAATAAGGAGGAGAGAGAAAATGTGAAAAAAAAATGGTGACGAAAGAAAGATTGTAAAAATGGAGGAAAGAGAAAATGGAGTTAGTGTGTTTGAAGGTTATAAACTGGACTCACGTGAGTCCGGTCTCACACAAAACCTTTTAACATATCAAATTATCGAGAATATTAACTTTTACCTAAAAATGAACAGGTTGTGATAACATAGTTCATACCCATGGCTAAACATACATCAAACTTTCCATTTGAATTTTTAAGAATGGACACGGTTAATGGGATATTATATTAAATTCCACTATTCCATTAGAATTTATTAAAATACTTACTCCATTTCCACAAGTTCTTAAAATTTACTATTTCCACACACACACACACATATCACATGGGCCCTCTTTATTTATTCTATCTCTCTCAACTCTCAAAATTGCCTAGGAGTTCATGAATTCAAAAGTGATGTAGTTTTTTAAAAAAAAAAAAAAATAAGGAGAAAGTATCTACTCACCAATTAAGGAAATAGGAGAGAGTGCTAAATGTTGTGAGTGCGAGAATAAAGGGTATAGAGTAAGAAAGAATGTAAAAAGGTGAGTGAGTGTAAGGATAAGAGTAAGTAAGAGAGTGGAAAGGTATAAACATAGTTAGGAAAGAGGGATAAGGTACTAAAAGGGGTTTGCCAAAAAGTGAGTATAAAGGAACTATTCGAATGGATGAATATGGGAAGCGTTATGAACTTTCAATCTAAGGTAGTATGTCGATATATTAAAAAATAATAATAATTCTTTTTCATTATCTTTAATTCTCCTAAGAGGTACTAAGAACATATAGTAATTTTAACTTTAAACATTAGCTCTCATATTTGCATATGGGCAATTCTAACAAAAGGTTTAGTGAATCACTATTGTATAAGTAAAATAGTATAGCTTAAATAAGATCACTGAAATGACTGAACCAAATCATTCAACGCCAAACTAGTTCTTGCTTCAAGAATTAGATTTAAATAAAGAATTTCTGAAGGTCACCTGCAACTCCCCAAGAAGGTGCCTTTCAATAGCATTGAAGGAGTCCACAACTTCTAATTCAGACATTTTTGATAAGAATTGATGGATATCGGTTTTCAATCTTGCTTGTTTCCATAATCTGTGCTGCTCTTGCTCAGCCACTGCACGCCTTCTAGAAAACCATGGCATAAAATTTTTCCCTTTAAGAAAACGCCTATCAATAGAACCACAAAGTTAGTGTCAGCCTTAGTTGTAACTAAACAGTCAAGTAAAATATTATCTCTAATATACACTTGCACTCCTCACCTGTATAAATCAAGCCAGTTTGATCTCATCCTCTTTGATAGAAATTTTCCTGGACCTCTTGCAGCTAAAGTATGAAGGAATTCCTCTGCCTTAAACGGAGGAAGAGGTGGTGGATCAACAAATGGTGAAGACCCTTCAGGAGGAGTATTGATCTTGAAATAAGGGCCAAAAGGAGACAAAAAATTGGTGGTAAGCTCCAGAAAATGCCGACGTAGAATCTCATTGTTCACAACAGACATAGATTCCTCAACCCTTGCTAACGTTCCCGCATCAACAAGCCTGTTCAAGATAGATGTATCTGGCTTGGTAGTTGCACCGTAAGTGGTCCAAACAGCTTCTTTGTGTTCTGTCATCAGACCAAGAGGACCATCCCTCCTCAACTTGACTGCATTTAACAAGCTCGATGGAGAAAATTTTCTCAAAGAGAGCTGTTGAACACCCAATCCTTCTAAGCGACCAGTTGGTCTACCAGAAGAGGACCCGGAAACAACGTTAGCACGGCTTGAATTAGCAACAGGACTTCCAACAGACACAATGTGTGGAAAATTGCGTAATGCTTTCAGGAAAAAGAGGTTTGTTACACCGAGTATCATAGGAGGAAAGGTGCCACCATCTTGTAGTGAGTTCAAATGGGCAAATTCAGGATCATGAATGGTGAAGTAAGGCCTGAAGTCAATACTACAAAGCAGTGGAGCAACCAAACTCACAAGACCTGCAACAGCCTCACAACACTGAGGAGGAGTTGGGGCAATGATAAGAACAGGCTCACCAACAAGTACTAACTCCCACAGAACCCAAAGCTGCAAGAGAATTCCACGAAATATACCAAAAAGGTCTGCTTCATGGAAAAGGCCAAGGGGGATCGACTGATTAGTAGCAAGCAATGGAACCATAAGAGAGGCAGACTCTTCAAGCATCTTTTTCTCATCTAAAGGCAAACTTTGGACGGGAGGCAGGTTCACTTTCAAGGTAGCATTACCAATGGGAAGTTCCATCAACTTCCCCGGAACTGGAGGAGGCCACAATGACACATAAGCGGCAATATGCTCAAGAGCTTTCTTTCCTATGTCAAAGAACAATGGACCCATAATTTGCAACAAAGGCCTGAACACACTAGAAAATGGACTATGAGACAAGATCACCACCGACTTCTGTTCCCCACCTCGCTTAAGCCTCTCATCATGCCTTTGCCTATTAAAGACAAAGCCATACAAGAACCGAGAATCATCACCACTCTTATGGTTACTCAATACCTGCAACACCTTCCCATTTGTGGCAGACTTCTGAGGAGTATCTCTCTCTATCTCAACTATCTCAGAAGTAAGTACATTTGCTGCATCAACATTTCCCCGCCTTCTTATCCTAAAGAAGAATATGCAATCATGGATACTCGAACGATTTTGGTTTTGGGACACAGAATCCGGGAACGAACTAAAAGCCGTCCCAAGCTCCTCATCCTCCGATAAACAACCTGCCGGATAACATTCCTCTACTACTTGACCTTGCTCAAGATCAAACCTAATCACATAAAACGCCACAATCCATCGGTGTAACGACTCATTATCGACTTTCGGACTCGGTTCCGACTTTAATGAAAACGATGGGGAACGGCTCATTTCCCACAAACTTTAGACAAATTATCATCCAACAAAACATCATAATGGCAACATTTCACCAAAAACAAAACTACTTGATCACACTCAACAGTTCAATGAATCTCAAAATTGATCTACAGCAACAAAACATACAGCAAATCAACATTTTATCTAGTTCATATAGAAAAATTTCTCAATAATTCGACTTAATATAAAAAACAGAGCTTACCTTAACTCCACTCAACTCCAATCCTTAGAACACCCAGCAAAAATCCAAATTTTCCAGTCGTTTTCTCTGAATTCAATTAAACAACATCCCAGCAAATTCACTTTGATGTGAAGAAATCAATTTGCTTTTTTCAGATCTAACAATCGGATCAATAGAAAACCCTAAATTACAATATCGAATTTTGAATCGGTGAGAAGAAAAATGGAGGTTAGGGTTTCGAATTGCCGAAACAGTCGATCAGAATAATGGTTTTGTTGTTGCAGATGCCGGTGCCGGAAGTGAGTAGAGCAAAGGCTAGTGGTATACGATGTGATTTTGTTTCTTAAGCCAATCTTTCTAAAAAGAAAATTAAATAATTAGCCAATCAAATGAAATTTATAACGATTTTTAACGGATATTATAATAAAAAGGTCCCGGTTAAGAGTTAAACAAGGATAAAATCGACATATTTGAGGGGGAACAAAAAGGTTAAACCGCTTACAACAGTAATTGCTATTGGCGGAAATTTAGTCCAATAACTCCTATTATTTAAAAGTTTGTCATTTGATTAATAGCAAGATGATAAAATCTGACTTTTCATTTTAAAAAACTACTTGTATCAGAACAAAGATTGACCTGATTCGCCAATCGTTTTGATCGAGTAGAATTTGACCCAGGTCTATATATAAGCTCTAAATTAGTGGTATTTTAATTTGTACATGATAGAGGGAATGAAATCTTAAACTCTAAATTAGTGGCAACGCACATGACCACTCAAGTTCCTCTTTTTTTTTTTCCTTCCTTTTCCTCCTATTAAACCCTAATTTCTCTAGTTTATAAGGTGACCAAAATATCCTTCCTAGGTTTTCATGGGTCCACAAAGGTTCTTTGGGCAACTGGGAAGTCCGCAATTATACCTATTTATCATTTTGCATTGCTAAAATCTATGATAAAAGGGAGAAAATTCAAGTTGCAATATTTAAATGCAAATTAACAAAAGGTTTTCACCTTAACTTCTTTGATTAGCCTTGAATTGCCTTCAATTTAATTTCAGGGATTGCAATTGAAGTTTTGGGTTTAATTGTATTGAGAAATTAAGGTTTAATAAGGGGGGAAAAAGGAAATTAACTGGTCACGTAATTGCATGTGGCTGTATATGACCGGGATAAAAGCTAATGCTAGAAAATGGTCAAAGGATCCTTGCCACAAACTCACAACCCAAACGTGGTAAAAGGACCTTTTGTGCCACCTTTTTAATAATTTAAATTGATCTTTCAAACAAAAAGGTCTACATTAAAGGACCTTTTTAACCAATTTTTCAATTTTTAATGTTTTTACAAGCTGATAATTCATTATAAATTTCTGTTTCCTTCCATCTTCTTTAACCTCCTTTCTTCCTTTCTCATCATCAATGACAAACGAACACAAACAACCACAACAAACAACATGCCTAACACCACCAACACCACAACAAACCCCAACCCCAACACCATCGTTGCGTTTTTGGTATATAAAAAAAATACTTCCTCCATTTTTTATAGTTGCAACAGTTTAACTTAACTTTTACACTATTCATGCGTTTCACTTTGTTTGACTATATTTGACGGTTTATACTAGTACTTATAATTAAAAATATAGTAATGTGACATCCTGTTAGATTCGTCTTGATTTATGTAATAATCTTTATAAGTTTTACATATTGGTAATTAGATATATTAATTAACGATTGAAAACATGCATCGGCAAGCGTGAAAAGAGAAGTGTTGCAACTTCAAAAAAAAAAAAAAAAAAAAAAAAAAAAAGGAACTATAAAACAAGGACATGGTTAACCCCCAAATGATAGGTGTTTGTCGGCCTGCCTCTATATTGATTTGCTCGACCTCCATTGAAAAATTCAAGCACCATTTTTGAAAAGAGAGATAACGTCCGTCTAATGTCGTCTTCCAAGCCAAAAAAAAATGTAAAAGATGTTTGTATCCCAAGTAGTGCTCGTGAGAGATCCTTAGAATTTTTCATGAAATCTTGAAAAAAAAAAGGGGAGGGAAAAAGAAAGTTATTCATAGTAATCTTTGACATAAAGTGTGTTTCGATTATTCAACCTCACTTCATCATATTCACCTTATATTCACTTTTGTGGTTTGTTGTTGCCCTCTTTATGTTGCCATTATCACCTTCTGTTTGATGTCTTGCAACCACACTTTCTCTCTTCCAGCTATTACCATTATTTTTCCATCACCAAAAAAAATCAAAATTTTCCCATCTATTACCATTATTTTTTCCATCACCAAAAAAAGTCGTTTCGGTAAAATATAGCTGTGTAGGTAGATGTTAGCTGTGAATGTAGAGGTTAGTTGTGTGCGTAGCTGTTAGCTGTGAAAATAGATAATTTAGGTATGAGTATTCGGTAAAGTAGTGGTTGACTAGCTGTTACATATAAGAATCAATATTTTATTTTTAAAACTATACATTAAATTTTCAACAGCCACCTCAAAAGCTACCTCTAACTTTAAAAGCTAATAATCCTAACTTTTCATAAAAGCTACCTCCACCGCTAAAAGCTACTTAAACCATTACTTTGCCAAACACTCACATTTTTTATTAAGTAGTGATTTGACTTGGTCAAACCACTAAAAGCTACATAAAAGCTACTCAAAAACTAGCGCCGAACACGCCCTAAAAATTCAATTATTTAGAATCTTAATGATTAAATTTAACCACCTAAAGTCATATTTGATGATATGAAAATGTATATTTTCATTATAATCACATTTGTTTTCAAATTTTTAAGATTTTGGGTTTCTAGGTGGATAAGAGTGGCCATTTAAGATGGTGAGACTAATTTTGAGGATTTTCTAAAAGCCCAATTTTTTGGAGCAGATCGACCAATCTTTAGGAGTTTTCAAGTGGATAGGGTGCATGTGGCTTTGAGATAAGCAGTTCACCCAAATTCACATGCAAACTAGATCACCCAAAATCTTGAACCCTAACTAAAAAAATTTAAATTCGATCTCTTGTTGAGAAATTATAATTTATTTGATCCTAAATTACATTGATAAATTGTAATAAGCTAGACTTAGTGAGTTCTCTTTAGAGTCTTTATTTTTTATTCTAGTATAAGGATTGCTTTACAACAATAATTAAAGCTTAAGGGCATAGCTAGTCGTTAAAAGCAAAGTTTTTGGGTTGGTAAGTTGCTTTTGAGCTCAATTTTATCTTAAATCCCCTGTATAAATGAACCCATATAGCAGTAGAATGCATGGCACCCAGTCCCCCTAAGAATGGATCTTTAAATCTTGTACTCCTACGGACGATCATTTGTTATCGTAAAGTAGTCTACTCTATGAAGCACCTTTACTTATTGAATTCGAGCTAAGCTACCTGAATATGTATTTCCTTCCCTTAACATGTGAAGTAAGAGTGTAAGCAAGGTAGACAAAAGGCGTATTCTGATACGATTATTTTCAGTTCAGTTCAGTTCAGCTCTAATAAGTTCAATTCAGTCAATTAGAACAAGTCCTAAGGAGAGGTCTCCTTCTCTCTCTATAATTTCTTAGCTTGTTGGCATGTGTCGTGACATTTCCATTTTCCTTGCCATTGTTTTATCTTCGTCATATTGTTGAAAGTCTACAATAAACGTTTTTTTATTATTATTATATTTTATATAAATATATAATCTTAAACTTTTTAAGACATGGCCTATTATTGAACTTTACCATATTCACCTTCTCTTACATTGAAGTGGACCTGGTAAAGACGCATAAATAACATATGAAACCTTTGTTAGAGGGAAATACCATTTATGAAACCTCATTTCCTCATAGTTGGACAAAGTTAATGAGTAATGACATAGATTAGTTATTAATTTGGCTCTTAACTTGCCTAGTACGCAATTTGATTAATTGATGTATATATAATTGGACACTAATTAAATAAACAAACAAAAAAAAAATGAATCTAAAGTGGACCCATATAGATTCCCATATTGACGGACGTACTAGTATTGCGAATGACCAATAAAGCTTAGCCCCATATCTACCCTTCCATGCATGCTTATAATTCTCTAGCTCAACCTACCCCTCTTTATTTACTAAGCAATCTAACTCTTCTAATCTAACCATCAAGGATACAAAACTATATCAACCTTAATCGTCAAAATTACACTTAATTAGGTGAACTCATCAAATTACCATTGTTATAAGATAAAATTTTCCTTACAAATTCTCGTAATTTATAATAACCATTTATCAAAATGATCATCAAAATATAAGTAAAAGTATTACCTTTTACCTATTTGATGTTAATCAATTATCATGTCTTTGTTTCAATTCCTCAAGTATTATTGTATCATATTCTAAAAATATTATAGTGTACATAATTTTTTTTTTTTTTGTTTGACACCGTAATAATTAATTACTACTATTAATTGGTATCAACAGTCATAATCCTTTTCCTTTACGTCCCCTTGCCCTAAAATCCTACATGCACAAACGAATACGGAGTATATTCCATTCTCTATATATATATATTATCATTCTCCCCTCCAACAATATTTCATACTAACTTCCAACATCTATCTCTTTCTCTACTCTCTCCTCTTTGAAAGCAACGTAGGAAAACCTAGCTAGATGACGGCTTCTACCGGTCCGGTTTTGGCTAACGGAAAAATGGGGGGTCGAGCCCTCATAGTTGGTTCAACCGGGTTCATCGGTAGGTTCATAGCCGAAGCTTGTCTAGACTCTGGTCGCCCTACTTATTTACTTGTTCGGTCCGGTTCATCGGCCTTCACAAGCAAGGCTCAAACCATTCATTCCCTTCAAAATAAGGGTGCCACCATTATTATCGTATGTTCTCACTCTAATGCAAGCTCAACTTATTTAATTACATTTATCTATATAGTTATATATATAAATACGTACTAGTTTGCTAATTAACACGTACTTGTAGTATATTTATTATAAACAAATTAAACATGCATGATCTTAATACAATTAAGAGTATGATTAAAAATTATAAATTTGATACAAGAATAATCTATTAAACAATTAAATGAATTTTGCAATTTTGACCCCCAAAAAAATACCCCTTAATTGACAAAAAATTTAAAAACTACTCCGTATGTTATTTATGTAAATCAAAACAACAATTATTTGCTCAAAGGATTTCTAACTAGTTTAATTGATTAAAGTTTTGAGGGTCAAAACTTCAAATTAAATCTCGTCTACATCACTGTCTTCTATGTGGTGTCTTTTTTTTTTAACACAAAAAAAAAAAAAAAAAAAAACAATTAGATTATTATTATTATTATTATTATTATTATTATTATTATTATTATTATTATTATTATTTGTAATAGTAAATAAAAAATGCAGGGGACTATAACGGACAAGAAGTTGATGG